GGGAGAACCTGAATGACTTTGCAGTGTCCACAGTGCTCAGTTTTACCTCCTGTACTTTGCTTCCATGGGATTCCCTAGTATTCAGTATTCTTCCAACAATTCTCCACTTTACTTAGACAAAATTTGAGTGTTTCTACTCTTGTAACCAAGATATGGCTGCAATGTGAGGCAATGTAATAAAGTAAAGATTTCTAAGTAGTATCTTTCTGGAAAAGAAAAGGAGGCAAACTGATTTTCCACCTAGGTCTATCACATTAAGGCCATTCCTACAGAAGTATTTTGAACAATTTTAAAAGGCAGCTTCTGAAGTCACAGTGCCCTTTAGGGTTCTTGCTTCTGAAACAGTCTTTTCAAATTTTCTTGTCAAAAGTCTTCCCAGTCACGCCACCTCTCTTCTTAAATATCACTCTGTGAACATTACCTTTTGTCCAATGTAAACTTTTTTAACCTCACCCTCTAGGGATTTTCTGTATCAACAAATACTTTTTACTTAAGAGTCAAATATCTACTTCTATTTAGTTGCCTTTATTTCTTCCCTTCTTTCTTTTTTTTTTTTACGCATACCGGTAGGATAATTGTCAGGAGCATGTGGAACAGGAACTCAAGGAATTTGAGCCAGAGATGGTCTCTCTTCAGGAAAAAAATAAAGCTGAACTTCACACCCAAATGGAGCACTGGTAGAGTCCAGACTGTCTCTAAGGTTTAGCTGTTCTTTCTCATCTTTATTCTGAAATTTTATAAAAGTTGCACCAAAAATCAGTTTTCTCTGAATGGAAGTAATATCAATATTTTTCTGTTTTTCCACAGCAGATAGGAAAACAGAAGTCTCTATTTTGATTCTCCTTTACACACATCATTCAGATAGAAATGAAAAACAAACAAAATAACAAAAGATAAGCCAAACTCTGCATCCTAAATTTAATTTGGAGACTACTTCAAAGCACTGACAGGTATGTTGCATTTTCCAAGTGCCTGGTCTTTATGTGGGGAATTCTAGATCAAACAAGGCTTCTGGTACGTGTGTGTGTTTCAGGACAGAGTCATTTTATAACTATAGCAGGGATATAATGATATAGCTATTAATCTTTAATAATGGTTAACTTTAATTCTCTTGGATAAAATACTCAAATAGCAATTACAACTCAATGAAGACATTTTTAATATGGTATCAAATACAAATTCACAGAACTTTTCAGCCATAAGGAGCCCTGGTGGCACGGTAGTTAAGCACTCAGCTGAAAGGTCAGCAGTTTGAACTCACCATCCACTCCAAGGCAGAAAGACATGGCAGTCTGCTTCTGTAAAGATTTATAGCCTTGGAAACCCTATGGGACAGTTCTACTCTGTCCTACAGGGTCGCTATTAGTCGGAATCAACTCGATGGCAACGGGTTTGGTTTGGTTTTTGGTCTTCAGCCACATTTGCAGATAAAAAGTACATGTCTTAAACACTGCTATACTTCCAAGTACATAGTTCAGAGCATGGAACAACTAATATGCATTGCTGAACTGTAATTTGTACAACAAATATGGAATAAAATGTAAAGAACTTTCAAAAAAAGGTAATGGAGTAACAGGACATCTCCAAGCAAAAACATAAACCTCGACCTAAAACTTATTTAAAAACAAAAACAAAAACAAAAACAAAAACCCAACTGGTTGCCGTTGAGTCAATTCCAACCCATAGCAACCCTGTAGAACAGAGTAGAACTGCCCCATAGAGTTTTCAAGGAGCAGCTGGTGGATTAGAACTGCTGACCTTTTGGTTAGCAGCCGTATCACTTAACCACTGCGCCACCAGGGCTCCCTAAACCTTATACTTTATACAAAAATTAATTAAAAGCAGATCATAGACTTAAATGTAAAATGTAAAAACTACAAAAATTTTAGAAAAAAATTGAAAATCTCTGGGATCTAGGTCAGGCAGAGTCTTCATATTTGACTCCAAAAGCACAGTCCATTAAAGGAAAAATTGATAAATTAAACCTCATCAACATTAAAAATTCTGCTCTGCAATACACCGTTAAGAGGTTGAAAACACAAGCTACAAAATAGGAGAAAATATCTGCAAACCACATATCCAAGAAATGACTAGTATCTAGAATATGTAAAGAACTTTCAAAACTCAACAGTAAAAACCAAACAATTCAAGAAGAAAATGAGCAAAAGACATGAACGGACATTTCACTGAAAAGGATATACAGATGGCAAATAAGCACATAAAAACATATTCACATCATTATCCATTAGGGAAAAGTAAATATGAAATGTCACTACATGCCTATCAAAATGACAAACATAAAATACAGTCACATCATCAAATGCTGATGAGGATGTGGGGAACTGGATCAGGCATACACTTCTGGTGGGAATATAAAATGGTACAGCCACTTTGGACAAGAGTATGGCAGTTTATGACAAAACCAAACAAACCAGAAACTGTGCTCTTGAATATTTATCCCAGGGAAATGAAAACTCATGTTCACACATAAATCTGTACATGAATGTTCATAGCAGCTTTATTTGTAATAGCTCAAAAGTGGAAACAACCCAGATGTCCTTCAATGGTTGAATGTAAACAAACTATGGTACGTCCAAACCATGAACACTACTCAACAATAAAAAGGGGCAGACTACTGATATACAAAACAACTTGGATAAATCTTAAAAGAATTATGCTGAGGGAAGAAATCCAAACTCTAGAGGTTAAATACTGTATGACTCCATTTATATAGCATTCTTGAAATGCCAAAATCATAGAGACAGGGAACAGATCAATGGTTATCAGTGGTTGGGGGGAGGGAAAGCTGTGGCTATTGATATAAAAGGATAGCATAAGGAAGGGATCTTTGTGATGAAACTGTTCTGTGTCTTGACTGGTGGTCACACAAATCTACATGTGATAAAACTGCACATAACTAAACACATGCACGCACACACACACACACACAAACGAGTACAAGTAAAACTGGGGAACTATGGTAAGATCAATAGATTGATTCAATGTCTACTTCCTGGTTGCAATACTTAGTATTTTTACGCAAATAACATGCGCCTTCTATGTTTATTTGCCAACATTCATCCCTACCCCACCGTGAGGTATTTTCATAAGCTCTGCTATGCCAATGTTTACATGTTGCTTATGAAAATACCTTACGGTGGGGTAGGGAGGAGCAGTTGACAAATAAACGTAGAATGCATATGTTATTTGCGTAAAAATACGGTAGTTACGCAAGATTTTCCCATTGGGGGAAAATGGCTGAAGGGTCTATGGGAGCTCTCATACTATTTCCTAAGAATGCATGTGAATCTGTAATTATCTCAAAATAAAAAGTAAGGGACTGGTATTCCTGACAAAAATGCATATAACCTGAATCTAATCATGAAGGACATCGACACTAGACCAACTCAAATACAAAAGACCTGGCCTGTGCACTTCAAAAACTTCAATGTCGTGAAACAGATTAAGAGATATGCCAACTGAATGCAACACACAATCAGATACGATCTCGGCCTTTCTTTGCTTTAAAGGACATTACTGAGACAAACTTATAAAATTTGAAAAAGGTCTGCAGATCAGATAATGGTATTTTATCGATGTTAATCTCCTGATTTTGATAATCATACTGTGGTTATGTTAAGAAAAGTTCTTGTTTTTAGAAAACACACACATGAAGCATTTAAGGGTAAGGGGGCATCATGTCTCCAACTCACTCTCAAATAGTTAAAAAAAAAAGTATATATACAGATTAAAAAAGGACATGTGGCAATATGTAACAACTGGAGAATGAGAGTGAAGGAAATACTTTGTACTGTTCTTGCAACTTTTTTGTAAGTCTGAAATTATAAATAACAAACAAACAATTGGTGGTAAGGTCAGCATTTGAACTCGGATCTGTCCCACTAAAATGTTCTTTTCACTAGAATGCTGAAGGATGAAACTTTCAACTCCCCCACAGGGATCTGGATGTACTCTGGGTAAGGAGAGGATGGTGTTATATAAAAATCAGCTTCAAACCACTCTGAGAACAATTCATGTCTCAGTTTCCTACTAGGACTGGGGCCTAATATCTTGCACCTTGCTCCCAGGGTAGATATTTCGTCTATACCACATCAGAGTACAGAACTGAGAGAACCATCATCTCCAGGCCCCCCATGATGGGGCAGCACACTGCCTTTCCTGTGGCTTTATTATTCAACCGCAATTTAACAAGCACTTACTATATACTGGGTAATGGAATTTTAGGGTGGCTCTACCTAGATAGAGCTCTTTTACTGGTATTTACCTCCTTAACAGTCCTCCACTACCTCACTCTTACCTCCACATCTGAGCTTAGACATGACAGAGAATTTGTTTTTAATTAACTTATTTTTTCTTAATAGATTATAGTTAAAAATTCACATGGAAAAAAAATTCACATGAAACAAGTCTGCCTCCAAAAGGGACAGGAGCTGACTGAATGGATATGGGAAATCTGGGGTGGAAAGGAGGAGTGTGCTTTCACATTATAGGGAGAGCAGCTAGGGTCACATAGCAATGTGTATATAAATTTTTGTATGGGAAACTAACTTGAACTGTAAAACTTTCACTTAAAGCACAATTTAAAAAAAAAGTCTGCCTCCCCTAACCACCCAGCTCCCCTCTCCAGAGACAACCAATGTTTCCGGTTTAAAAATGCAACTCTGTGATATTTCTCCAAATCAACAAAATTAGCTAGATCATATGATATTAAGCTATCTACCAGAATATTCCAAGTGATCACTATAACTTTAATAATTTCCCCTTTTAGGCATTTAAAATATCCTTCAAATACTTTTGTAGATATGTTTTCAACAAATTAAAATGACTGAAGGTTAGTAACTTTTTTTTAAATTGAAAAAAAGATGTTTGCAATATGTATGACTAAACAGATGTCTATGAATTATGGCTGTAAGAATCAATTACGATAGAGTATTGGTAGCTCACCTGGTTCCTGTCACGTGCATTTGTGTACCTGATCTTCTGAATGAAGTAGAATATGAGCCATGCTGAAGAAATAATCATCAAAACAATAAAGGATATTGACACGAAGACTAGAGAGCCACGGCTGAAGTTCTTTGGCGGCATACGAGCTCCAACAGCTATTGTCATTTGTACAGAGATGTTTTTCTCCAGATAACTCAAAATATCCTTACCCCTCAATTCTGTAATCATGACAGCAATAATATCTCCAGTGCCTGTAATGTAAAATAAATATGTATACTCAAGTGACATTTAAAATTTATAGAAACATCAAATATGTAAAAATGCTTAGGAAAAAAACTGCAGTTTTTGCTAATGACAAGGTGGGCAGAAACAACTTTTCAAATGTAGTGAAGCTGCAGTGGGTATGCGGCACCAAGCAGGGATACATATTTTGTTGTGCTGTATAGTACTTAAGATTTAAAGAGACTTAAGGCAAAAAACAATTGCAGTGTTAAGAACCATGTTAACCTGTCTTATAACTATTTTTTAAAAAATTATCAAACCAGTCAAATGTCACAACAGACAGTAACATAAAATTATACAGCAATAGAAATGTGATAAACTCGTGGCAGGTTTCCATTGTAAAACCTTTTCTACCTTGAAATGCTCTTCAAAAGTCCCAACTCCCTAAGAAAAGGAGAAAAGCATTGTTATCTACAGCACAAATTGGTACTTTTTGCACTAATAATTCTAAGAGACAATTATGGAGCAACTATTGTGCGTAGAACTAGTGCAAGGAACGGAAAGAAGTACAAGATGCAAAGTTTTATAATATATGGGACAAAGGACAGACAACTGATAATAGAGTTGCAACAGCAAAATGCTAAATGGTGGTACCTTTTATTAACAACATTTGAAACTAACTTTGGTCTTATGTCTAGACCCGACTGGAGTAAGACTCCTTTCTAATTTGCCCCAGAACCTTTCTGGAAGTCAAACCCTTCCTGAGACAGGTCCAAGCGTCAACACCCCAGACTACTTCCAGCTTCTACAATAAAACCAGTGAAAGCCAGAACCTGTATAAAGTGGAAACCCATCAGAGAAAGAAAGCTCAAATATTCTCCACTAAAACGAATGAGAGCAAAGTGGTAAAAAGGTGGGAAACATGCAAGACCCAGAAAAACAAGGTAGTCAATCCTGTTGAGTTGCAGCTCTCACAGGTTTCACTGCAATAGCTGTCCACAGGTTCTGGCATAAACTAAGTTCATTTTAAGGATGTCCTTAAAATTACCCTCCTAGTCACTTTATTCTTTCTCTTACCTAATTTCCAGAAGCAGAAATACGTTAAAGTCAAGTGGCCATCTCTCCCACGGACAGCATGAAATTACAAGACCTTTTCTACTCCACAAAGAGAATAATTTCTCACTTTCCTTTAAGGAAAGAAAGAAGCCTTTCCACCACCAATCTACCTACCAGTGGTCGTCCTTTCAGAGGCAACGTGCAACTTTTACAAGTTGCCTTCTTTAAAGGGCTTCACTGGAAGACTAGGCATCAGGCGAAAGGGAAAAAACATTTTATTTTGGGAAACAGAAAATTATAACCACTTATTCAAATTGTATAAGGTTTGTACATATAATCTAAGTCACCAAAACAAAATAAAGCAAGCAAGCAAACAAAAAACCCAAAACTTGCCCTTTCAAAGGTTTCCTGAATAATACATACTAACACCTGGTTTTGTATGTTTCATTGACCATATTTAGCTAAAAAGGCTATTGCTGTGTCACATGCAGTCAAAAGACCACATGCAACTGAAAAGAAATTCATTAATAAAAGGTGTTTTATGAAAAATGTAACCCCATGGAACATACACCTTTGTATTACCTTATTTAAAATTGTTCCAGCCACTTTACCAGAACAGGAGTTTATCAAAATTGATTAAACATTGAAAAACAAAAAGAAAACTGCAAAATTAAAGCAAGCAATAATGTTAACATCTAATTATTTTTCTGAAATAAGAGCTCTGATCAGTAAGTTAGAGAAAATCATATTTCCATTTAGAAACCTTAGGCTTGTGCTATTGAAATGTTGGTCAACAGGCAATGATCTGTGGTATAACATACCAGGTATGGCTATAAAGTAACTGAGACGGATCCCACAAACTACACATGACAATCAGTCTCATTGCTTTATAATCACACCAGGTACAAACGGTTTTTAGAAATCAGTTCTGAGGCGCCCTCTTGAAGACTCAAGCTGGAAAAGGAGTAGGGAACACTGCACAGGTAGCCAAGAGAGCCAATCTATGTAATTTCACTCATTTTAAGGAACACTAAATGGGCTCCAACTAGTTTCAACTGGAAAGCTGTTTGGGAAAAGAAGTTTAATTGTTTCAACCATCCATTCAACAGTACTTATTGAGCACATACTATGATCAAGGTTCCTTAATGTTCACCTTTCAAAGAAAGTGAAAAATTACCTGCTCTTGATTAAATGAAAACTCCATCTACCCTCAAGAGGGCAAAGGAGAATATAAAAAGCACTAGAGAGAGGGGCCAAACACCGGCATTCTCATCACGCTAGTAAAAAGGGAGCAGACAGAGAAGAGCAACGGGAAAGAAAGGAGGCTAGGACGCTGGTTGAGCAAAACGAAAAACTAACAACTGTAGCAGGTCATCAGAACCCTAATGGATTCTTTACCATTTTAGGTCTTAGACGCCTTAGAGAATCTGAGGACCGCTCCCAGAAGAACATCCACCCCTCAAAAAATTCTGCTGATTTCAGAAGGGGTTCATGAACCTCCTCAGCCCCACCCCTTGAGCCTGTCTGGGTTTGTAGACCCTTAAGGATGCCTCAGATGATTGACTTCTGATTTGTGGAGCCCTAGCCCAACTTCAGGAGGGATAGTAAAGAAAAAAACTAAAGCTTTTGGGTAAGACTAAGGTAAGATCAAGCTGTGATTGATAAGAGTTAAGAATTAGACTGTAATGATGTAACCATTCAACCAAAGATGACAAATATTTGGAACATCCATCCCTGCTCCTACTTCCTAAGCCCTTGGCAAATACTGCTAATCAAGGATATGGCCTCAGAATCCCATACATTTCAGCATGTCAGGCAGCTACTGCAAATTTATCAGAGATGACAATTAATTAAGAAAAAACCTAGGTATTTATGATGCCTGTTTTCAACTATTTCTTTGCAAAACTTTCTCCATTGTGATTCTTAATTAAACCTATGTTTCCACTGCTTGGTTCTGGCTACTTTAATAATTTTATTTTTCCCACTTTATTTTGAAATTTTCAAACTCACAGAACAGTTTAAATAATAGTATGTGAACACTGACGTACTTTTTATTTAGATTGCCAACTAGTAACATTTTGTCACATTTTCCCTTTCTGTATATATTTTTGCTGAACCGAGAGTAGGATGCAAACATAACATTTCATCCTTAAATACTTCAGCATTATCCTCTAAGAACAACATATTCTAAATAATAACAATTTAATTATCATACTCAAGAAATTTAACTCTGACACAACATTGTTCTTTACTATACAGTCCGTATTCAAATATCTCCAACTGTCCTAATACTGATTTTTACAATTTTTTGGCTTTGCTTAGTTATGTATCTGGGATCCAATCAGGGATCGTGGGCATTGTGATTAGCTATCACATCTCATTAGTTTCCTTTAACATAAAATAGTCTCTCAGTCATTTTTTGTCGTTCATGTCATGGCCTTTTTGAAGAGTCCAAGCCAGATGTTCTGAAAATGTCCCTCAATTTATACTGTCTGACTGTCTCCTCATGATTAGATCCAAATTAAACATTTGTGGTAGGAACAGTCCATAGGGGATGCTGTGTCCTCCTCAATCAACTCAGGAAGCACACCTGATCATCATGATGGCAAACTTGAGCACTTGGTTAATCTGGTATCTGCCAGATTTCTCCTGTAAACGTACCCTTTTCTCTTTTTAATTAATGAGTAATCTGTGAGGTGACACTTTCAGACTGTGTGAATATCCAGTTCCCCAAGAAGCTTTCCCTGAATGCTTTCAACATCCATCAATGCTTGCCTGAATCTGTTACTACAGTGGTGTTTGCAAAATGGTGATTTTCTAATGCTATAATTTCTTCTACATTTTGTAAACGGATTCTGTAGCAGAGGCATTACTGTATTTTTCTACTGATCTTTTTTCTCATTTAAAAAAAAAAACAGAATTGCTGCGTAGGCAACTTTTTTGTAAAAGAAAGAACCTCCTGCCCTCAGCAATCTCATTTTTTAATGGGGAAAAAAATACATGGAAAAATATGGTAATCCTGCTATAATTCCTACTACAGCATCAGTTTTGAGGGGCCCAAAGAAGGAACCTCAGAATTAACCTCCTTTAAGCTCTGGAGTCAAAATGTCTAGGCTCAAATCCCAGCATGATACTCAATCTCACTGAACTTCAGTTTCTTCTTTCAAAAAATGAGATACTAGCTGCTGCAGGCCTCATGGCAGACAATTAAGTGCTACAGTTTACTGACCTAATCCTGTTTGAACTATGATTATTTATAGAAACTAAAGGAAGACATTCTGGGGGAGGAAACCAAAAAGTCCCTTCCACAAAATTTTGCAAGTGCCAGTCCCTCTCTTAAATTCCGACCTGCAAGCTAGCTCAGGAAATGCTCAGGTTCATGCTGACCAACAAAATCCTCCCAGCTACAAGAGGATTCAACTTCCAGCTCAGAAAATAAGTCTGCCAGGTGGAAGTGTCAGAAACACCTCCATTCCTGCCTGTCTTCCTTCCACCCCTCCTTGGAGTGAATCTCAGGGCAAGCACAGTTCAGCTGGAAAGCTGGGCAGCTCATATTTTAACCCTAGAAAGGCAGATTTAGGAAGAGCAGATCGGCTCTCTAGGGCAACTGGAAACTGGTGACAGAGGTAGTTTGTTTCACTGCAAACCTACCTGTTTTCTAAGAAAACGACATCCCTATACAAAATGTCATTAAGGTAATGTTTTATACCTTAACAGATGAACTTGTTTGTTAAGTTTATATCACTTGCCAAAGTTTTAAGGAATTTCAAAACCCGAAGAAGACAGATGATTTGAGGGAATTTCCCATAAAAAGAATCCAGGGGGATGCTGTGTTCCCACATTAAGTATCTGCAATGATATTTTTATGACTTCTGGTCAGTTACTACATATGGCTTTAGGGTTATTCACGTAGAATTCAATGCCCTACTTATATGTAGCGCAGAACACCACATACTTCAAATCAAAGAGATTA